GGTTTCTCTGCCCGCGGGGGGACGCGGGGACTCCGGGAGGAGAGCGGCCCTCCCGGGTTCCCGCCAGGCGGGGACACCGCGGCGACGCGGAGCTTGCCATGCTCCCCGTCGGAGCCCGAAGGTGTGAAGCAGCGCTCGGTTGGCTGGAGAGCAGTGCTGGAAGTTCTGCTAAGGCGGTGTGTGACTACGTGTGTATGGGGGGTGTGCGTGTGTGTAATCCCTAGCATGTGTCCATATGTAACGCATAAACGTGCAGTAAAGAAGGGGCAAGGAGAAAAAAGATCAGGGACTCCTCCAGGAGCTGACGAGAAAGCATCTGTGGCACTTTAATCCGATGCTGACATCTCCCAGTAGGATTTCTGAGACCAAAATTCCCTCCAAACCTCAAAGCACGAAACATTGTGTTGCTGCATCCGCTAATGACCGTGAAACAGTAATGGCATGAAACAGCCGTCAGGCTGTGGTTAAATTCCTTTTCGTGGAAGAGGGCGAAAGACTTGAGATACAAGTATCAGGTCTCTCCACTCGGGTAACGCGAGGCAGAGCGACATCCTTGCTTGTCACATCCCCTCCCCACACGCACGCACTTGGAGTCTTTCTTATCCCCTCCTCCCCCTTGTGAATTTTAAGACTTTATTCATTTTTTATACGGCTTCCAGTGTAACTCTTCCCTTTACCCTCTCCTCCCTCCCTTTGCTGGGTGAGCTCCCTGGGTGCTGGGGGGATGTGCCCACCTCATGGTAAACGGGCTGAGGCGCAGAGCTTGTACCAGGCTACAGGCAGGAGCTGCTCCACAGATTCAGGCAGGCAATTAACTGGGTTTTAGCACATCAGCCTGTGACACACATGCTCGTGTACACACGCACGAGTGGGGATGGAGGGGAGGGAGAGGTGAGTGATGAAGAATAGATTTAGAGTTGGTACGTTTTGTATTATTTGGGGTTCTGTGACATTTCCTCTCTATTTATTATTTTCTGGGGAATATTACAGAAGACACGGGATCACGTTACTGGAAAACATTCTCTATATAAGAGCTGCAGTAGGAAGTGAGTTCTGAAGGTTTCCCCCTCGCTTGTCACTTTGAGGAAGCGTTTTCCCATCCCAAAAGGATGAGTCCTTTGCTTTCTTTAGTTGTTTTTTTTTTTTTTTAAAAAAAAAAGCCTATAATAGAACTATACATTTTCTAATAGGTAGAAACATACAATTAAAAACAAAACAACAAAGGACTTGAGTTCCAAGAGTGCATTCGCGGATTTGTTCATTTTAGACCCAGTCACGCCCAAGAGTAGTATTAATTGCTTTGAGCTTTTTAGGCAAAACAGTCCTCATCCATCACAGTAAGATCTGGTTTTGGATTTAGGGGAAAGGGAAATTAAAACGTGCAGTTCCTGTATGGATAGATATTTCAAAATAAGATGCAGTCGGGGGCAACTTGCTTCCCCTCTTCTGCTTTAGAGAATAAGGCAGCAACCCTGATTTGTACTTTTTTACAAAGACGAAAATAACCCATCCTTTGTGCAGAAATTCTTCAAAACTAGAAATCGACTTAAAGCATTTTTTTTTTTTACTTCGGTTCCAAGTAGGAGAGGAGAGGAAGGGAAAAGGTGAATAGAAAATGCTTGATGAAGCCCTCTAAGCTTCGTACGTCCGTTTGTCCTGTTGG